TCTAGAAATTTGAATAGCTCCATTATGTCATTTATGACTTATGTGCCAAATTTGAAGTCATTCCGGATTCATTTAATATGTTTTCGCACGAGATTTGCAAATTGAAAAGTTTAAAACTTAAAAATTCGACTCGAGGTGTGAATTGTAATTTTGATGTTGTTTGACGTGAATTGAAACCCGGAGTAAGTCCGTATTATATTATGGGACTTGTTGGTACATTCGGACGGGGTCCCGAGTACCCCGAGTGTGATTCAAATCAAAATCGGAATAAAAATTGGACTTAAGCAAAATCTGAAATTTTGCTGCTTCTGGTGCCTTCGCTTCTGCGAAGCCTTGGCCACAGAAGCGGCTCCGCAAAAGCGTGAAGCCCATCGCAGAAGCGGAAATAAGGGGGCTGGGCAAGAGTCCGCAAAAACGGACATTTTGTTCGCAGAAGCGGAAGGCAGCGCATAGGCGACATTTTCAGTCGTAAAAGCGACGCTGCAGATGCGGCCATTTCGTCGCAGAAGTGAAATTGAGAGAACATTTAGGGGTCAAAAATGGCCGTTTTTCTTCATTTTGTTTAGACTTTTAAACCTCGATTTTTGGATGATTTGACGGAGTTTTTCAAAGGTTCAAATTGGGTAAGTGTTTCTTATCCCACAATGATTATATTTCATGAATCCATGTCTATATTCATCATTTATTTCGGATTTAGATGGAAGAAATTAGAATTTTTATAAAATCTTTCAAAAACGAAAAATTTAGATTTGAAGGTCCATTTGACATCGGAATTAGATAATTTTTGTATGGTTGAATTCGTAGCGGAACGGGTATTCGGATTTCGCGAGTTTTTTCGGGATTTGAGACGTGTGTCCCACTGTCGAATATTTTAATGAATTTTGAATTTTTATCCGGAAAATTAGTAAATTCATATGGAATTAATTCTTATGATTCGTATTGAGTATAGTGAATTGTTTATGAGTAGATTTGAAGCTTTTGGAGATAAATTTAAAAGAAAAAGCTATAGTTGAGTAATTGATTGGAATTTGCAAAGCGAGGTAAGTGTCGTGGTTAACCTTGACTTGAGGGAATAGAACCCTTAATCTATTTGTTATGTGAAATGCATGTAAACGACGTATAGGCGAGGTGACGAGTGTCTATACGTCGTCAAATTAATTATTTGCATAATTACTTGAAAAATATCTTAAATCGTTTTAAATCATGAATTAATTATAATAATAATTATTTCTCTCCTATTCTCTGTCAAATATTAATTCTCGAATTCCTGCATTAATTGTTACATGCTATTTGAATTATGTGTCTTAATTGTTATTTGACATTTAACATATTAAATATTAAACTGCCTATTTTCTCCCTGATTTTCATAATAATTTGCTATTTATCATTGTTTGTTTTATAATTAAATTATAATTATTGTATGCTTGTTATCTTATAATTTTATATTAATTATTATATTTATTGGAGAAATTTCTTCTATAAGAATTGGTAAATGGATATATTGGAGGATCGGATTGCACGCCGCAACAGAATTGATTGAAATTGATACATTGGAGGATCGGGTTGCACGCTGCAACAGACTTATTAAAAAGTTCATATTGGAGGATCGGGTTGCACGCCGCAACAGACTTATTAAAAGTTAATATTTGGGGGATCGGATTGCACGCCGCAATAAACTTATTTAAAAGTCAATATATATACTTGATTAAAAATAATTATATGAGAGGGTTGAAAATGAATATATTGTGAGAGCGAGTTGCACGTTGCAACAGAATTGAATGTGAATATATTGTGAGAGCGGGTTGCACGCTGCAACATAATTGATTGGAAATGATAATTAGTTATGACTGCTGAGTTGGCTTCAATTATTATAAATGAGTTACCCGATTTATTTCTATTATTTGTTATTACTAATATTGCGTACAGGTTAATGTAAGTGACCCGCCTTAGCCTCGTCACTACTTCATCGAGGTTAGGCTCAGCACTTACCAGTACATGGGGTCAGTCGTATTGATACTACACTCTGCACTTCTTGTACAGATTTCGGAGTTGGTTCCAGCGGCGCACCATAGACTTGCTCGAATTTCAGCTATTCAGAGGGGACTTGAGGTATAACTGCACGACGTCCGCAGTTTTGAAGTCCCCATCTACTTTACTTTTGCTGTGTATTTATTTCTAGACAACTTTATTTTATTCAGGCCCTTACTGGTATTATTCTAGAAGCTCGTGCACTTGTGACCCTAATTCTGGGATGGTATTTAGACACCATTGTTCTTATGGATTATTTACTATATTTCAGACCTTACTTCCGCATTTGTTCCTTTGTTATTAATAAATTTAAAAATTATTTTAAAATGGATAATATTATTCTAACGTTGGCTTGCCTAGCAAGTGAAATGTTAGGCGTTATTACGGTCCGAAGATGGGAATTTCGGGTCGTGACAGTTGGTATCATAGCACTAGGTTACATAGGTCTCACGAGTCACGAGCAAGCTTAGTAGAGTATGAAGTATCGATACGGAGACGTCTATACTTATCTCTCAGAGGCTATGAAGTTTAGAAATAATATCACTTCTTTCTTATTCTGCTGTGTGATTTTATTCTATCATCGATAATTGAACCATTCTACTATTATTCTCTCGCAGATGGTGAGAACATGTAATACCTCTACCGATGGATAGGGACCAGAACCCTCGGTGGCAACTATGGCCAGGGGTAGAGGTCGAGGACGAGGTCGTGCTAGAGGCCGAGGCAGAGGCCGATGTAGAGCTCAGTCCAGAGCTCGAGCAACTACACCTGTTGTAGAACCTCAGGTAGACCTTTAGGAGGAGGTTCCAGTTCAGAATGTACCAGCTAGACCAGTTCAGGTCCCGAAAGGATTCATAGACACTCCAGTACTTCAGGACGCTCTAATCCGTTTGGTAAGTCTTATGGAGGGCGTGGCCCAGAATGGTACATTTTCATTTGCACCAGCAGTCTCACAGGTTGGGAGAGGAGCACAAACTCCCACTACTCCCGCTCCGGAGTAGATGGCTCCCCAGAATCAGGCTCCAGCAGCCCCACCAGTTAGGGTAGTTCAGCCAGTTGTTGCGGCACAGACCGGTGATAGGCCCGCCATGTCTTTTGAGGCCTTATTGTGACTGGATAAGTTTACTAAGCTCTTTACAGTTCACTTCAGTGTTACACCTTCCGAGGACCCACATGATTATCTTGAACGCTGCCATGAGGTGCTGCGAAACATGGGTATAGTTAAGACCAATGGGGTTGATTTTGCTGTATTTCAGATGACGGGTTCCCCAAGAGGTGGTGGAGAGATTATACATTGACCCGACCTGTCGGATCGCCTACACTTACCTGGGAGCAATTCACTCAGCTATTTCTGGAGAAGTTCCTCCCTATCACACTGAGAAAGGAATTTCGCAAGCAATTTGAGCATCTACAGCAGGGCAGTATGACTGTTACTCAGTATGAGTCCCGTTATATGGATTTGTCCCGTCATGCTCTCCTTTTACTACCTACGGAGGGAGAGAGAGTGAGGAGGTTTATTGAGGGACTCACTCACCCTATTAGACTTCAGATGGCCAAGGAGACCGGAAGTGAGATTTCTTTTCAGGCAGCTGCTAATGTCGTAAGGAGGATCGAGATGGTTCTTGCATAGGAGAGAGGGCAGAGGTCAGATAAGAGGCCTCGTCAGTTATATGATTTCAGTGGTGCCTCGTCTGGAGGCAGGGGTAATTTTGGTAGGGGTCGTTCTCCTAGACCGTTTCATTTAACACTTCATGCATCCCCCGGTGCTTCAAGGAGTCACGGTCCTATTATGACTTACTATGGACAACCAACATTTAGTGCACATTCAGCTCCTATCAGTGCACCGCCACTCCAGAGTTACTATGGTGGTTATCCGGCTTCAGCTTCAGCAGCCACGACATCAGGATGGGTGTTATGAGTGTGAGAACATTAGTCACATCAGGAGATATTGCCCTAGATTGACGAGTAACAGATATCAGCAAGATTCTTGTGCCATCATACCGGCACCGGTTGCTTCACCGCCTGCTCAGCCAACTAGAGGTAGGGGTTAGGCAGCTAGAGGTGGAGGTCAGGCCATTAGAGGTGGAGGTCAGACCGTTAGAGGTGGAGGCNTCTGGAGACTAGTTTGGATCTTCTACTTCTTGATATGGTAGATTTTGATATCATCTTGGGTATGGATTGGTTATCCCTTTATCATTCTATATTGGATTGTCATGCCAAGACAGTGACCCTAGTTATGCCGGGGTTACCTTGGGTAGAGTGGAAAGGAACTCCTAGTCATTCTGCCAGCAGGGTTATTTCTTATATGAAAGCTCAGCGTATGATAGAGAAAGGGTGTCTAGCCTATTTGGCTTATATTCGCGATCCCAGTGCGGATGTTCCTTCTATAGACTCAGTACCAGTTGTTCGTGAATTTCCAGAAGTATTTCCTGCAGATTTGCCGAGGATGCCACTCGACAGAGATATTGACTTCTGTATTGATTTGGCTCCAGGCACTCAACCCATTTCTATTCCACCATACCGTATGGCCCCGCCAGAGTTGAAGGAATTGAAAGAGCAGTTACAAGACTTTATCCTACGCCTTCGTCGAAAAATGCCTAGAGGCAGGGCGAAGAAGAGTACGACGATACAAACGACGGAGAAGATGAAATTGGTGGCAGATTGCATCTCTCCAATAGGGATGACAAATAATTCGCAACCGGAAAGTAGCTCCAATGGCCCAAATTTGAACTTAATCACACCATTGAGCTCGACTATGAACATGCAGAACCAGATGACAACCCATATGCTTCTTACTTAGAACCCTAAAAACACAATTCTGAGTGAGAGCAAAGGGCAATGCAAGAAAGAAGCTCCGCCAGCACATATGAAGCTTGATTTACCCCAAAATGAGTAGAAAAGTTGGGCTAGCTTGTATACGGGTAACAAACTAGCTGCTCGAGGCATGAATCTGTCGTATAGCCCCCCCGATTATGGTGGATGGAGAAAAGGTGGTTGAATTGCAGCAAAATGAGATTGAAATTGAGGCGGTAAAGTGGAGGCATGCAATAATCCTATACGTAGTGGGCGATTCTCCCTCAATTGGTACTGTTGAAAGGTTCATTGCTACATACTGGAATTTTGCGGCAAAACCAAAGGTATACTATCATAATAATGACTGTTTTGTGGTACGGTTTCCTTGTATGGAAGATCGAGATGTAGTCCTATATTCTAGTCCATATACGATCAATAACAGACCACTAATTGCTAAACCCTGGTCTGGTAATTTTGATCTGGACAAAGAGGTGCTAAGTACTATCCTTCTGTGGGTTCGGTTGCCAGATTTGCCTCTAAGTTGCTGGGAAAATGTTACATCAAGCAAGATAGGTAGTGGAATTGGCAAACCTATCTATGCTAATGAGTGCACCACTAGCATATATAGGATTTCTTATGCTAGAATTTTGGTGGAAATGAATGTCACTAGGGAACTGCCTACTAGCTTAAGACTCTAAGAGCCAAATGGGAGATACTTCTAGCAAGTAGTAGAGTATGACTGGAAGCCGAAATATTGCTTAACTTGTCTAAAATTGGGCATATCTGCTAAGTTGAGGAGACACACATGAGATTGGAACGACCCTTGAAGGAGAAGATGCAAGTACAAAAGCCTAAGACCATGAAACCAGTATGGATTCAAAGGCAACCTCTACAACATGGGAAGGGGTCAATATGGGTATCCAGGTGCAATAACATGCAAATATGAAACCTGCTGAAACCCAAAAGGAGATGCAAATGCAACAACAGCCCATTAAGAAGACAATAGAGGAGCAAAAAGTTGGGGAGAATGAAAGTGTATAACATTCTGTGCATATGCACAATCAGGAGGTTGAATGGACTGCAGCTAGAGGAAATTCAACATTAAGAAACAACCAGACTGTTATGCATAACAAAGTTATCACCACCAATGTGTTTGGTCCAATAGATGTTGGTACTAACCAAAACCTTAGACAATTTTTTGTTGGCCAAGAGAAAGTTTATGAGATGCAAAGGAAGGAAGGGGGAGTACTACCTCAACATATGACAAAATGAAGCTAGTCACATGGAATATCAGGGGGCTCAATAAGATATATACGCAGAAAGAGGCAAAGAGGTCTATCATAGAGAATAAAGTAGGTTTCTAGCTATTATTGAATACAGAGTTAAGGAACCTTTAGCTCCACAAATTATAAAGAAGATTGTTGTAGGTTGGGGAAGTAGTTGCAGCTACCAAGCTGATGGGAAAGGCATAATTTGGGTGATTTGGGACCAAAAGCAATGTCATTTCAATACCTTGAGTGCAAGTAGCCAATGTATCTATGGAATAATAAATGTCTTTTTTGACAATATTAAGTTTGATTTCTTTTCTGTATATGGCTTACATACTATACAAGATAGAAGAGAGTTATAGAGTGAATTGAAAATAATTTATAGTGCGTAATATGAACCATATGTTGCTATTGGAGACTTTAATACCATCAACAGTATTGAGGATAGGTGGAATGGAAGCCTAATCCACAAAGTGGAAATACAGAACTTCAATAATTTCTTACAAACGACAGGAATGATAGGACTCAAAATTGTGGGCAGATCTTTTACCTAGACAAATAACCACGTTTATAGTATAATTGACAGAGCTTTAGTAAATGCTGATTGGATGCATAAATGACCTCAATATAAAGCCACTATTTTAGACCCTGCTTATTCTGATCATTCCCCTATAAGTATCAACTTTGAGGGGTGGTATAGGAAAAAGGCTAAATCATTCAAGTGTTTTAATTGTCTGGTAGAGCATCTAGAATTTTTGAAGACTATGAAGGAGATATGGGGAGCTAATGATGATGAAGCGTCTATGTATGATATGTGTGGCAAATTAAAAAGAGTGAAGGTGGCTATAAATGAAAAAAAGGAGCACGACGAAAAGCCAACCTGATTTTTTTTAATTCATTTGACGAGGGAAGACTTTAACAGACGAATAGTACTGAATATAATGGGGTGGATAAAAAAGTTAAAGTAGCTCGAACTCAATTGTCTGAACTGCAAGGCCAAATAAGAAATCATAGACAACATCAGGCTCTATTCCAGGAAGAGAAGCAGCTTAAAGAACAAGTAGAGAAGTGGTCTAACATACAAGAAAGTATTGCAAGGTAAAAGTCAAGGGTACAGTGGCTCAGGTTGGGGGATTCTAGCACTGCCTATTTCTTTGCATGTATGAAAAATAAAATTATCCGAAATTCTATCAGAAGCCTTATAAATGCTAATGGTGATGTAGCAAGATGCCAATGGGATTGAGGATGAAATAACAAGTTATTATAAGCAACTACTAGGAACATCTACTAGCCAACTTTTATGTGTGCAGTCAGATGGAATGAGGAAAGGTCCCACTCTGAACAGAGATCAACAACTCCAACTTATAGCTCCCATTACAAGAGAGGAGGTGAGTGTAGCAATCCAAGGAATAGGCGATCAAAAATCCCCGGGAAATGATGGATATAATGCATGCTTTTTCAAAAAGGTCTGGCATCTGATTGGGGGAGACATAGCTGTAATGAGTTATTTCAATACTTCTACTATGCATATACCTATAAACTGCACCTCCATTATACTACTTCCTAAAGTGAAGAATCCTTCCACAATCAAAGAGTATAGGTCTATATCCTGCTTTAATGTCCTATATAAAATAATATCGAAGATCATTACTAATAGATTGTAGAAGGTAATAGATTAATTGGTTGACAATAGTCAAAGGGCTTTTGTGCCAGGGAGGGTTATCACTGATAATGTGATTCTAAGCTATGATCTAGTGAAGGGTTATGGTAGGAAAAATATTTCTCCCAGGTGTGTGATGAAAGTTGACATACAAAAAGTATACGATTCAATTGAATGAGTGTACTTAGAGAAAAATCCTGATTGAACAAAACTTTCATGCTCTGTTTGTTAAATGAATTATGAATCGTGTCACAACAGTCTCATATTCTATTGTGATTAATTTGTAGGCTGTCTGAACCATCTGAAGATAAAAGAGGACTAAGACAAGAGGATCCTTTATCCCCTTACCTGTTTGTACTGGTTATGGAGTACTTGAGCAGACTATTAAAGAATATGAAGAAAACAGACAGTTTCAAGTTTCACCCAAAGTGTGCAAAACTTCAAGTGGTGCAATTGGGATTTGCAAATGATTTGCTCCCTTTTTTTAGGGGTGATCTTAAGTCTGTTAAGGCAGTTTTTGAATGCTTTCAAAAGTTATCCCTTGCATCTGGCTTAGTTTCTAACCTGAGCAGAAGCTCTATATATTTTGAGGGAGTTAGTCAAGCTCTATATAGTGAGCTGCGTATTAGGTACTTGGGAGTGCTCCTTAGTACTAAGCGACTCTCAAGTATCCAATGTCAACCTTTACTTAAGAAGATGCTGCAAAGAGTGAACTCATGGACAACTAAAGTCCTATCATATGCTGGAAGGGTTTAATTACTGAAGAGTGTTTTATTTTTAGTACAAGTCTTCTGGGCACAAATGTTTATTCTACCAAAGAAGGTTGTGCTGCTGATAGAAAGGATATGTAGAAGATTCATATGGACTGGGGGAACAGAGATTTCCCAAAAAGCTTTACTGGCATGAGACAAACTATGTTTACCTTTGTCTTTTGGGGGTCTTAGTCTGCTAAATATTGTAATCTGGAACAAGGCATCTATATGCAAGATGCTATGAAATGTGTACAGGAAGAAAGATAAATTATGGGTAAAGTGGATTCATTCATACTATGGGAATGGGAGAATAATATGGGAGGCTAACAGTAATCAAGCATCTTGGATGGTTCAGAAAATTTTCAAAGCAAAGAAGTACTTTGAGGAAGCTTGAATTGAAGTACTTTGAACTTTAAAGCAAATAAGTTCATCGTAAGACTGGTAGCATAAGGGAGGCTATACGCTAAGGACATACTATATAAATGAGAGATTTTTACTAAATAATCAAACATGTCCCTTATGTGGTAATGCACATGAAAGTATATCCCATATATTTTTCAAATGTGATATTGCAGCTGAGATATGGGAGTGACTTCTTAGATGGCAAGGACTGAATAAGCAAGCGCTAGAGTGGGAGGCTGGACTTGACTGGGCAATGACATATTGCAAGGGGAAGGATGCCAAAGCTGAGATATTCAGAAAGACAAAGTGGTTTATTAATAGTCATTTCCTCAAGTAGAGGTGTTCAAATGGAAAACCTAAGAGTTCATATATCAGGTTTACAAACTGATGCAAGTTTAAGTGACCACGAGGCCATTTGACCTAACAAATTTGTACGAAAGTTTAAATGAAGTTGTATGAAAGTATATATAATGAGTCGATGAAAGTTGGTACGATATTGTATGAAAGCTGTATCAAAAAGTCTTTGTTCCAGCTCGATTGGATTTGCCTGGTGCTTTTGAATTTAATTGTGTTGCAATGTTTCAAAACTATATCAGGTTTTTTTAATGCTCGCATCAAATTATTTGCTGAATATATTTGCATTCAGGTTTAAAGCTTTGAGATGAAGCATGATTGTATTGTCGCCATCAAAGTTAAAAACTAAAGTTAAATCCCTATTGTTTTGCGATCAATCTTCGAAATTATATCAGAATGCGTGTGATTTATAGCGATTAATTGTGCAATTGAATCTGAATACAGTTTGCTTTTTGATTGTAGCAAATTTGCCAAGTTTTGGAGCTATACAATGATCTTCAATGACAGATTTGCCATAGCCTATAGCGTGAATAGGGGATATTTTGGGGGAGGATCTTCCGTAGAATTGAAGAGGAAATTGCATAGCTATAGGGGATATTTGCACTAATCACTGCATTAAATAGGCGCTGAATTTCTTTTAAACTCGTTTTGTATATAATATGTTACACAAAAAGTTCGCCACTTTTAAGTATTCTATTTTGTATCAATAGGAAAAAGTCATTGGATTGGAATTAGATCTGATTGAAAAAAATAAATAAAAAACAACTAGATTTACAGTAATTGAAAAATAGCCATAATTTTAAAAAGTAATCGAAATCTAGCAACTTTTTCATGTAAAGATAAAATCTGAACAATAATACCCTTAAAAATCTAAAATATTTCCTGGAGTTCGAATTTTTTACATATGAGATTTCAGCATAATGTGCTGGAGTTTCAACATAATATACTGGAAGTTTATACGCAGGAACTCCATAATCCAGCATATTTGCTTGAACTTTCCGTGTTTCAGCAAAATAGTGGCTATTTTTCAATGATTTTGCAAACGCTGGCTATTTTTCAATTACCTGTCCGAAAACTGACTAGCCCGTGTTATTTAACGAATGGAGTAAGATCTCGTCTTAGTTGAGTTGGGCTGGGCCACCGCTTTTGGCTGGGCTAGTCCATGCTAATTGTCAAAACTGATATTAGCTGATTCATTTGAGCTATTTCTCTTGTTAAATTTGAATCAATGAATAAAATAGTTTTAATTAATGATTACAAAC